AAGATGACTTTTGATGCTAAAAACCATCCCCCAAAAAGCGGGGGTCGTCTTATACGCCGGGTATACAGGCGGCGGGGCATCCCAGGCGCACCTGGGCTGCCCCGCCGCCTGTATAACCGGCGTATAAGACGACCCCCGATTTTTGGGGGATGTTTTTTAACATCAAAAGTCGTCTTGTACACCGGTATATACAGTATGTAAGCGAGAAAATGGTCCCACTATTGTGGGGAACTTTCCTGGCTTTTACACTACCCCGGTGAAATGGACCAGCGAAAGGATCTGAGTCCCCGCTCCCACTTCTTTTACCAAAAGGCCTCCCTGATCCTGAAGGCTCCCCTTCCACTCTGAGTAGCAGAGTCCTCGAAATTCCAACAAGGGCTGGGCCCAGATTTTCTGGGGCTTAATCCCTGACCTTGTAGTCACTTGGGGTAGGGGCTAGGGTTTCCCCACTCCGGAGTGCTCTCTTCACACTGGATGCTTTCTTGACCCCAGTGATCATTACATACAGTTCAAAGCAAATACAATTTATTAAACAGCAACTGATTAAAAAGAAAAGAATAAGGAAAAAATGAGAAAAATTAAATGACTTATGACCACTTTTTAGAAGTGCCCGCATCTCATCACCTCTACGCCACCCTTTCTTTGCTCCTGCCTCGTCTCTTCCCCACACCGAGGCCTCATTGCTCTGCTCCCCTGCTGCTCGTGAGAGCTGGGGGACGGCCAAACCCTTGCTGATGGTGTCAGCCCTCCAGCCCCGCTATTCCCATGGGCTGCCTCAGTTGGAGGAAGAGCTGGGGCATGAGTGGAGCAAAGGAAGGAAAGAGGTGAGGAGAGGGTGGAGCAAGAGCAGGGGCAAGGAAAGATGGGGCCTGATATGGGGGGAGGGGTTGTCCTAGCCCTTTCCCAGGTCTTCCCTCACCAGCCACCCCTGCTAGCTATTAAGATGAGTTGGCCTATCACTGCACAACACCGTATTGTTGCATATTGTATAGGATTTCAATTTTAATCTTCCCATTATAGACATCCCTGTGCACCCCCAGTAGCATGCAAGTTTGGTAACTACTTTTGAATGCTACGCTATCCACAAAGCCATATTGTATACAGCAGAGATCAGAGAGAATGCACATAAAACATATGAGGGTGCTTTTGCATGGAAAGTCAGATAGTTTCTTGAATCATAATGACACCTACAGCTCTTTTTCTGTTTCATTGGTCATGTCATGGGTTCAGCTTTCTACAGCCATTTTCTGGAGGATTTTTAGAACAGTCAATTATTTCCAGGCATCACAGAAAGATTTCCCTGATCGCCTTAGTTCCCCTCTGTTTGAGGGTGAACTGAACCTGGAAGAGGGGGTTAGGGTTCCATCTCTGACTTTTACCTGATTTCCACCAGATCAAAGGAATTCTGGGCCAGCACAGTTAGAAATGTAGCCTCAGAGCAAGGCCTGCTGGGAAGGAAAAGCTACTTTCTCACTTGAAAGTGACCTGATCAAAGCAGTGAGTTCATAGGATACCAAAACCTAAATCAGAGCCATAAATTAGCCATAAGTTGTCAAGTATTTTTTCTCTCTTACAACAAATATTTTCCTCTGTTAAAAATAACTATTTGCTCATCTCTAGTTACTTTGTGAGGTTTCCTCTTTGAAATGAAAAGGTAAATTAACCATGGGAATGTGGAGTAAAAGTGCAAATAATCAAAAGCAGCACTACAGAAATTTAACCACTCTTAGGCCATGTCTACAATAGCAAACTGTTTCAAAATAACTAAATTCGACTTAACTCCCGATTTTACAAAATCAAAATAGCATGTCCCCACTACGGGGAAGCCTCGACATTAGTCTGAGGCAGGCTCCAATAATGTGGATGCGCTATCTCGACTTAAGAGTCCCAGGAAGCCCTGGGGAGTAATTAGTTTGAATTACTCTGGGGAGCACTCATTTTGAAATAGCAGCACTGGAACATCCACACCAATGCTATTTTGAAATTAGCTTTATTCCCTGAGAAAAGCAGGAGTACAGATTTTGAAATAAGCAGCCCCTTATTTCGCAATAATAGGCTTAGTAGTGTGGACTCTCCGCTTATAAATTTGACCTAAGGGGGATTATTTCAAAATACAGCTTTAGTGTAGGCCAGGGCTTAGCGCATTTCACGCTTTGTTCCATGTACCTTTCAATGTAATCTGGTGGTACTAACTATTACAACAGAAAATAATGTCAAATCCTAGAGAGTAGCTAGTCGTCTTTTTACTCTTATGTTTCTTTTCTTTAAGAACATACTTGTTTTCCACCAGATTTTTTTTCAATGGCAAGATTCATCTTTTCAGCTGTGCGCACTGTAGGGAGATGATTGTTCATTCAAACGAGCGCTGTTATTACAGAATGGCAAGATAATAGAATCCCAGCCATAATTCTCTATCATTTGGAGTGAACTGGTGATTTTAGAAATTTACATTTTGTTTCCTAAAGTGAGATCAGCGCAGCATAAAATCAGCCCACTGAAAATAAATGACATCTCTGTTTTTCACGCCTCATTGTCAGCTGACTGAGAATTAACTGCAATTTTGTTCTTACAGTACATTACTCAGGTTTTAAAGAAGAAAGGAAATCAAGTGGTCATTTTAATGGATGAAACACTGGCCTCTCATCTGTGGGATGCCTGAAGATTAACTGGCCCTCCAACTGAAAGTCTGTTTGGTCATCTCACAGATGCAGCGAGTGTTCTCTTACCTGTAGAATAAAGTGATTCTATCTAGTCCTCGCTGCATTCAGGCAGGCCATGGTTTCACATAAGATACAAAGTTGGGATTCTGGCGTAGGATAGTGGTGACAATAAATGTAGTGGTTTTCTTCTTTCCGCCCTAATTTGTGCACATCTCAGAATCACTGTTACAAGCTGGCATGATTAACAATCTCTGCTCTCAAGGGCAGGCCCAGCCTAAGTGATTCTATCTAGTCCTCGCTGCATTCAGGCAGGCCATGGTTTCACATAAGATACAAAGTTGGGATTCTGGCGTAGGATAGTGGTGACAATAAATGTAGTGGTTTTCTTCTTTCCGCCCTAATTTGTGCACATCTCAGAATCACTGTTACAAGCTGGCATGATTAACAATCTCTGCTCTCAAGGGCAGGCCCAGCCTGGAA